ATTTGTCAATAGGTATTTCATTTTTAATTTTTTTTATGTTTCTGTGCTACGATTTTTCGACTTTACAATTTTGACTATTCTACAAATTTTCGATTTTACAGTTTGAGTTTTCCCAGTTTTTCCATTCGATTAATTTTTTCTTCTTTTCAATTTTTCAGTTCGTTAATTGTTTTGATTTTTAAGTTTCTCGATTTTTAGTTTTTCATTGTTGCAATTTTTCAATTTTGTTATTTCTCGTTTTTCCAGTTTTTCGATTTTTCGACTTTGGTTTCAAAAAAATAAAAAAAAAATCGAAAATGGAAAAACGAAAAAATATGAAACGAAAACATTAAAAAATCTAAAAATTCAAAAACCAAGAATTTGAAAAAATCACATTATAAGTTGTCTTAAAACGTTTTCAAATTTTATCGATTTCAGAATAGAATTAATTAGTGTAAAATTTTGAATTTTTTTCACTTGGTTATTTCAGAGTCATAAATTAATAAAAAGCTTGAAGAGTCTAATTTTTTGCCATTTTAGAAATATTTACAACATTCTACAAACGGGTGGGCGGGGCTAGTTCTTGGTAAGATAAGACTGATTTTAGCAAATCACATACCCTCTAAGAAAGTAAAGGGTGGGTGGGCGGGGCTAGTACTTGCCAAGATAAGACTTATTTCGGCAAATGACATATCCTCTGAGAAAATAGGGGGTGGGTGGGCGGGGTTAGTACTTGGTAAAATGAAACTGATTTTGGCAAATGATATAGCCTCTGACAAAATAGGGGGCGGGTGGGCGGGGCTAGTACTTTGTAAGATAGGACTGATTTTGGCAGATGACATTTCTTTTGGATAAATAACGGGCGGGTGGGCGGGCCTAGTACTTGCTAAGATAAAACTGATTTTGCCCCTATTATTCTTTCAAAAACTTGTGAAATATTAGTGTTAAATTGTAAATTTCCATACTAACGAGTTAAATTCCTAAATCTACCCGAAACTAGCAAAATATCATGAGTTTTTGCTTGTGAGTTTTATCATTGCATTCATAGTTTTTAGAATTGCTTATACAGGTGACTCAAAAAATTAATGAATGTATCAATTTATTTTATTGATTAAATCAGGAAGTTGATATACGTGTCCTTGCAAAAATGTTGATGACCTCATCGCAAAATTTCGTAAAGTAAAGTCAGTGGAAAGTGTGCGAGGGAAGTTCTGTCGAAACAGCTTTCGACCATTTTTTTTATGAAAACAGTGGAGATTCCCAAAAAAATTCCTTCAATTTTTTTTCAAATGAAACTAGCGGCTTTTTAATTGGAAAAAAATAAGACTTTACTGACCCCAAATTTCTTTGAAATTGTTCAAAAAATAAAACATTAGAAGTCCCCATAATTCTTTTAACTTCTTCAAAAACTAAAACACTAGGAGTCCCCAAGAGTTCTTTAATTTTTTCAAAACCTTAAAACACTACAGCGCCATTCTTTTAAATTTTCAAAAAGAAAAACACTAGAAACTGGATGATTCTTTCAAAATAAAACATTAGGGGGCCCCAAGAATCTGTTAAATTATTAACAAAAAGACACTGGGGACCAGAAGATGTTTTCAATTTTTTTAATGAAACCAGTGGCTGCTTCTAAATTGGAAAAAATGACCCCAAAATTCTTTTGAACTTTTAAAAAAAAAAATACTACGGACCCCAACATTCTTTGTAAAACTAAAACACCAGGAATCTCTAAGATTCTTTTAATTTTTTTCAAAGAAACGCTAGGAACTGAAAAATTTTGACAAAAATATATGGGTTCCCAAGATTCTTTTCACTTGTTCAAAACCTAAAACACTAGGGGTTTCCATGATTCTTTTCAATTTTTTCAAAAGGAAAGAAACGCCAAGGACTCCAAGATTCTTCCAATAATAAAGCATTAGAGGACCTCAAGATGCTTTTAAATTCTTAAAAAAAGGCACTAGATTTTTTTTTCTCTTTTTTAAGGGACCAGTAGAGATTCTCAAACAAATTCTTCATAAATTTCTTAATTTTTTTTTCAAGTGGAACTAACGGATTCCTAAATTGAAAAAATAAGACATTACTGGCCCCAAGTTTCTTTAAAATTTTTTTGAAGTCCCAGATTTCTTCAATTTCTTCAAAATCTCAAAAAAATGGGAGCTCCCATATTCTTTTAAATTTTTCAAAAAAAAAAAGAGACACTAGAAACTGATTCTTTCAAAATAAAGCACCAGGGGGTTCAAGAATCTTTTAAATTATTTAAAAAAAGACACTGGGAACCCGAAAATTTTTTTTCTTTTTTTTTTTTTATAAAAACAACAGACATCTTCAAAAGATCCCTTGTATTTTTTTGTCAAAATGAAACACAAAATTCTTTTGAATTTCTTAAAAAAGACACTACGGACCCCAGGATTTTTTCAGCTTCTAAAACTAAAACAGGAGGACTCCCCAAGATTCCTTAAAATTTTGCAAAAAAAAGAAACGGTTGGGATTGAAAAAATCGAACTTTACGAATTCCCAGGATTCTTTCCAACTCTTCAAAATCTAAAACACTTGGGGTCCCCATGATTCTTTTCATTTTTTCAAGAAAAGAAATATCAAGAACTCCAAGATCCTTCCAATAATAAAGCATCAGAAGATCTCAAGATTCTTTTAAATTCTTAAAAAAAGGCACTAGATTTGTTTTCATTTTTTTTAAGGAACAGCAGAGATCCTCAAAAAATTCTTTCAAAAATTTCTTAATTTTTTTTTTTTCAAGTGAAACTAACGGCTTTTTAAATTGAAAAAATAAGACTGAGCCCAAGATTCTTTTAACGTCTTCAAAAACTAAAACACTAGAAGTCCTCAAGATTTCTTCAATTTCTTCAAAACCTCAAAGAATTAGAAGCTCCCAAATTCTTGTAAATTAAAAAAAAAACACTAAAAATTAATCGATTCTTTCGAAATAAAACACCAGGGGGTCCAAGAATCCTTTAAGTTGTTTAAAAAAAGACAATGGGGACCCGAAGATTGTTTTTCAATTTTTGTTTTTAATAAAAACAGCAGATTTCTCCAAAATATGCCTTGCATTTTTTTCAAAATGAAACCAGCGGCTTCTAAATTGGAAAAAAATACACTGCGGACCACAAAATTCTTTTGAATTTTTTAAAAAAGACACTACGGACCCCAAGATTCTTTCAGGTTCTTTTAGAAGTAAAACATGAGGAATCTCCAAGATTCTTTGAACATTCTTAAAAAAAACACTAGAAGTCCCACGACTCTTTCAAAATGTTCAAAAAAATCAAAGATACGAGTTCCCAAGATTCTTTTCAATTCTTCAAAACCTAAGACACTAGGGTCTACGTGATTCTTTTCAATGTTTTTCAAAGAAAGAAACACTACAGAATTTAAGACTCTTCCAATAATAAAGCATCAGAAGACCTCAAGATTCTTTTAAATTCTTTTAAAAAAAGGCACTGGGAACTCGACGATTTTTTCCATTTTTTAAGGTGCAGCAGAGATCCTTCAACTTTTTCTCCAAATGACACTAGGATTCTCTTGGAAAAAAAAATAAAAAAACATTCGAAACAACAAGATTTTTTCAAATTCTTCAAGAATTAAAACATTTGGGTCCTCCAAGAATCTTTTAAATTTAAAAAAAAAGACACTGCAGACCTGAATATTTTTTCAAAAGACACTATGAGTCCCCAAAAAATTTTCGAAATGAAACTAGCGGTTTCTTCTAAATTGAAAAAAAAGTCACAAAAGTCAAATTCTTCAAAAAATATTCAAAGTGTCCTCAAGGTTTTTTTAGTCAGAATCTTCCAAATTCTTTAAAAAATATTCCCATAACTGAAACTACTCTTACTTCCTTTTATAGCAGTTTAAAATACAAATTGAAAAATGTTTTCGATTCTATCTTTGTAGAATTTTGATTTTGCCTCCAAAAATCTAGTTTTGTAAAGTAAAATAAGAAGTTAAAATCTACTAGTTCATAAAGAACAATAAAATGAGAAGTAGCTAAAAATAAACCCAATACTCAGAAACTATAGATTGTACAATTATAAAATTGTACAATCAACCACAAGATTGTATTATCAAAGTCACCAAGCAGGAAAACAACAAACAAACAATTAAATATAAGTGGACGCAAAAAAATCACAATAAAATCCAAAGCTCAAAAAATAAGTAGGTCAAAATATGAGTGATCTAGTTCCATCGGATTAAGGCGGTCTTACATTCGATAACCCGCTTTAATAATCGATTAATAGCTTTGGATCAAAACGTCAGAGCTCATCATTTCTATCACCCCGCCAAATTAAAAAATCATCGCCGCTTCTGCACCTCAAATAAATGACACAGAGATAACAGTTGTAAATATTTTCCGACGATAATTCTGCATGCGAAAATTCAGAAGCAGCTGAATGGAACCATCCCGTCTATCTACACAATTCCCAGAACTCCCGGACCCACTCTTCGCCAACCCAAATTTTCTCCCATCACCTCTATTTTTAAACGCCGCTATCTCGAGTCGATTGCCTCAATCACTTTCCTTATCTATGCCCCCTATTGATCGCACTTACTTAATGAAATACCTGATCGCGATATCTGCGAAGATCCAACTCCTCGCACGAGTTTGTTTGTACTTCATTGATAAATCCATAAAAATCACTTATCAATGGTACAATATTTATTAATAAAACCGTTTCATTCAAGGTAAAAACACTCAATGAACTGTCGAATCGAACCCACCCTTGGCACTTTTTTCCTCTCGAGTGCCGCAATCCAAACTCGAGACGCTGCAAACACGTAAAATAACACTTTTGGCAGTTAACGCGGCTCGGGTTACTAGATTGGGGTCGATCAGGGGTGCGAATTGCCAGTATTTGTATAAAGCACAATTTCCTAAAATAAGGGCGCTTAATCCCCGCGCGCTGGGGTGTGAAATTACCCCAAGAAACGGTGTCCCACACGATTCACCCGTGATACCAATACTACACCATTTCGAGAAAATTGGGTTTTGGGGGTGCGGTTTCGGCACTCACCTCCCAGGCGAAGCGGGGATCCTGGGGCACGCCGGCCCACTTGCCGTGGAAGGGGCCGTAGCGGGCGCCCTTGGGGATGGAGGTCTTGGCGAAGAGGCCGTCCTTGACGTCGATTTCGCAGGGGACGACGGCCGAGGCGAGCAGCAGCTCGCGGCATTTCGAATAGGTTATGTCCATCTTGGTACCGTTGAGGTACTTGACGTCATCACAGATCTGGTCGTAGAGTTGGTCCGCAGGCTTGAGGGTGAGCTTGCCGGGGGTGTCTTCGAGGTTGTTGTTCGAGGGGTAGTCGGAGACTTTGAGGATCTCGAGGGCTGAGTCGAATTGGGGCGGGACCATTGTTTTGTCCATCGGGTGGAGGTCTTGGTGGGGGTCGGATGAGACGTCTAGTTCATCTTCGCTTCCTTCTGGAACAGAAAACATTCTATGAAACGAGAATTATAAACAAAAATTTTAAAATTTTTTAAAAAGTTTTTGCGAAAACATGTTGGCTCAAAGTTGGCTCCGACCAATATTACTCTCTTGACCAACTAAATCATTTTGAAGTCGAAGTTGCCATCTACAGAAACGTTAATTACAGTCAAGTTTGGATAGAATGTTTCTGGTGGCAAGTTTGGTACAAATACGCGTTATAGTCGAAAACATTTTGACTCATAGTTAGCTTTAGATAACCAACTACAATATCTGTGCTAGTACCAGCCAACTCTTAAGTCAAAACGGATTTTACTTTGTTCTTTTAAGATAATTTTTAATTAATTCTTTTTGAAAAATTTTTTAACATTAATAATATGTATGCGGTAACCGAAAACGTTCTGACTCACAGTTGACTTGAGTTGGCATTTACACAAAGTAATGTGGCTACAAAATAGCAGCAATTTTAACGATTAATCGAATTCTAATATTTAAAGGACATTTTGAAATCAATGGAGTCAATGATAGTGTCGGTAGTCATAATCAACCCCAAATCTGTGTATCTAGAATAAAAAAAAGAAAGAGTTTCCTAACTGTGAATATTTTTGCCTAAAATTGGCCTTTACTAGGATGCTCCAAAGGACATAAAACGACATCACTATAAAGATAATAGCAACTTTTGACGTTATCAATGTTCCTTACACTATAGTACAGCCAACTCAAAGTCAAAATGTTTTCGACAATTCGTTATACATATAAGATTGGTTGTTTCTACTTTATTTCTGAAACCTTTCCACGCTATATTTTTGGAACCAACACGTCGAGATCTACACCTCTGAATTTTTTTTGAGAATTTTTTGACAATTGTTTAAAAGACGAAATTTTTCTAAATGCTTCTTCAAATTTCGGCCCATTTTTCACCATTTTCGAAATTTAACTCAATACATTTTCTGGTAGATTTCGAGCTCTAGATGTCTGATAACTCCAACAGTTTTCCCAGAATCGGCCTTTGAAATTTTTGCAATTTTTAGAAAATTTTGAATTTAAAATCAAACATTTTGAAAATGTTGCGCACATCGAGATCTACATACCCAATTTTTTCGAGAATTTTTAGACAACTTTTTAAAAATATAATTTTTCCAATTTTTCAGTCTTATTTAGATTTTATTTTTACAAGCCCCGCCCATCTGCCCTCTATTTTCTCAGAGGATATATCCTTACTCAAAATCAGCCCCGCCCACCCACCCTTTATTTTCTTAGATGGGTATTTCATTGGCCAAAATCAGTCTCATCTTAGCAAGTACTAGCCCTGCCCACCCACCCTTTATTTTTTTACCATGTAAAAGTGTGGTAAGATAAGTCTCATTTTGGCAAATGACATATCCTCTCAGAAAATAGGGGGTGGGTGGGCGGGCCTAGTACTTCGTAAGATGAGATTGATTTTGGCAAATGACATATCTTCTGACAAAATAGAGGGCGGGTGGGTGGGGCGAGTACTGGTTAAATGGAAAGAGGAGGTGGACGGGGCTGAGTTTACTTTTTTTCTACAGAGTCTTATAAGCAAGCATTAGTGCTCCTCACTCGTCCCTTCTTCATTCTAGTAAGTACTCTTAGCATTGTTCAGTCTTATCTTAGCAAACACTAGCCCCGCCCACCCGCCCTCTATTTTGTTAGATGGTATGTCATCTGCCAAAATCAGTCTTATCTTAGCAGGCACTAGCCCCGCCCACCCGCCCTGTTCTCAATCTAGCGATTGTATTTCTTTTCAGTATAAGACCCTCCTTTCATTCGGACTATATAAAATGAATCACTGAAATGAAGAAGGGGTGGGTGGGCGGAGTTCATTATATCATATTAATAATTCTGTCGACTGGTAATGGGAACCAATAGCTATTCGTATTTTTTTTTGTTATACTATTTGCTATAAGATGTATTTCGCATTTCAGAAGAAAAAATGGGAAAACGGATGGGTGGGCGGGGCTAAATTTAACTTGTCCAACAGTCTTTTATAAGCAAGTTACAGCATTGCAATTTATGTTTCAGAGCCAATAAAATGAGTTATCAAAATGGAATAGAAGGTATATCATTTGTCAAAATCATTCTTAACTTAGCAAGTATTAGCCCCGCCCACCCACCCTTTATGTTCTTAGACAATAGGTGATCTGCCAAAATCAGTCTTATCTTAGCAAGTACTAGCCCCGCCCACCCGCCCTGTTCTCCTTCTAACGATTTTATTTCTTTTCAGTATAAGACCCAATCTTCAATCAGACTATGTAAGATGAATCATTGAAATGAAGTAGAGGTGGGTGGGCGGGGTTAATTATATCATATTAATAATTCTGTCGAATGGGAATGGGAACAAATAGCTAACTGTAATTTCTTTTGTTACACTATTTGCTGTTAGGTTTATTTCTCATTTCAGAAGATAAAATGGGAAAACGGGTGGGTGGGCGGGGCTAAGTATAACTTTTTTCGACAAAGTCTATAAGCAAGCATTAGCCCCGCCCACCCACCCCTTCTTTGTTCTAGGAAATACTCTTAACATTGTTCAGTCTCATCTTGACAAGTACTAGCGCCGCCCACCCGCCCTTTATTTTTTATATGGTACGTCATTTGCCAAAATCAGTCTTAGCAAATACTAGCCCCGCCCGCACGTGTGTTCTCATTCTAACGATTTTATTTTTTTTCTCTATAAGATCCACCCTTCAATTAGATGTAATCACTGAAATGAAGGAGGGGTGGGTGGGCGGGGTTAATTATATCATATTAATACTTCTGTCGACTGGGAATGGGTACTAATGGCTCTTAATCGTAATTTCTTTTGTTGCACTATTTGTTATAAGATTTATTTCTCATTTCATAAGATAAACTCAGAAAACGGGTGGGTGGGCGGGACTAAGTTTAACTTTTCCTGCAGGGTCTTTTATAAGTAAGTAACAAGCATTTCAACTTCCATCTCAGAGCCAATAAAATGAGTAATCAAAGTGGAATGGGGGTGGGTGGGCGGGGTCACTTTAGATTATGGTTTAAATCTTAAATTCTACCGCTTGTCAGAATAAAATTCAAGTCCCATTTTACAGTAAATAAAATAAGTCGGTGAAATGGAAAAATTAGGCAGGCGGGGCTGAGTTTACTTCTTTTCGACAAAGTCTTATAAGCTAGCATTAGCCTCGCCCACCCACCCCTTCTTCATTCTAGTAAATACTCTTAACATTGTTCAGTCTTACTAGCGCCGCCCATCTCCCTTCTATTTTCTCAGAAGGTATATCATTTGTCAAAATTAGTTTCATCTTAGCAAGTACTGGCCCCGCCCACCCACCCTTTATTTTTTGGTTGATACGCCATTTGCCAAAATCAGTCTTATCTTGGCAAGTACTAGCCCCGCCCACCCGCCCTTTACTTTTTTAGATGGTACGTCATTTGCCAAAATCAATCTTATCTTAGCAAGTACTAGCCCCACCCACCCTCCCTGTTCTCATTCTTCCGATTTTATTTCTTTTCAGTATAAGATCCACTAATATGTAAAATGTATCACTGTAATGAAGGAGGGGTGGGTGGGCGGGGTGAATTAGTCATATTAGTGATTCTGTCGACTGAGAATGGGAAAAAATAGCTAGTCGTAATTTCTTTTGTTATACTAAGTATTTGCTAGAAGATTTATTTCTCATTTCAGAAGATAAAATTAGAAAACGGGTGGGTGGGCGGGGCTAAGTTTAACTTTTTTCGACAAAGTCTTATAAGCAAGCATTAGCCCCGCCCACCCACCCCTTCTTTGTTCTAGGAAATACTCTGAACATTGTTCAGTCTTATCTTACCAGATACTAGCCCCGCCTACCCGCCCTTTAGTTTTTTAGATGGTACGTCATTTGCCAAAATCAGTCTTACCTTAGCAAGTACAGCACATCGAGATCCTACATCCCTGAATTTTTTGAGAATTTTTACACAACTTTTTTAAAAGTGAAATTTTTCCAATACTTCTTTCAAATTTCGGCCCACTTTTAACCATTTTCGAAACTTAACTAAACACATTTTCTTGTAGATTTCCTTTGAAATATCGAAATTTTTGGAATTTTTAGAAAATTTGACCTTAAAATCGAACATTTTGAAAATGTTGGACGATAAACATAAACACGCTATATTTTTGGTATCCGCACGTCGAGATTTTTTGAGAATTTTTAGACAACTTTTTCAAAAATTGAGATTTTTTGAATATTTCTCTTCTTCAAATTTTGGGCTATTTTTGACCATTTTCGAAACTTTACTAACGACGATGTTTGTTTAATAACTCCAACTTCTCCAGAATCGCAAATTTTCAAAAATGAATAAGAAATATCAAAAATTTTAAAATTTGAAAACAACAGTTTCTAAAAGATTTTTGTGAAATTTATTTAAAATTTAGTTATTTTTGTTCTTTTTACTTTAGTACATGCGAATATTTCTCAAAATTCAGTTTAAAAACTGAAAAATTTTAGGTGAAATTTTGAAAATTTAAAAAAGAGAACCTCAGAAACGGTTCCAAATTGAAGTCTAGTAAATCAAAATTTATACTACAAGAAACCCAAAATTTTGCAAAACTTTAAAATCACTAACAAGTATCAAGAACTTAAAAATTTCAAATCGACACGTTTTGAAAATTTTTAAAAATGAAAGAACTATGAACACAAAAAATGGCTTCATAAAAATCCACTTTTTAAATTTTTGAAATTTATTCGAAATGTATTTATCCTTTGTTATTCTTTTTGTTACAGAACATGTCAATGGGTCTAAAAATTCAAAAATCTTCAAATTAGTAACAAATATTTATCAAAAAAATTTTAATTTCAAAAACTCTTTTTGAAACGTTTTATATAAAAAATGGCTTCATTAAATTATTTTATTTTATAAATAAATCACTGTTAACAGAATTGTTCATTTGAAAATTGTGTATGTAAAAACAAAATTTATGAAGCTGAAAATTACAGAGAAAAATCCAAAATTATAAAAACTTCAGAATTCG